AATGTAAACCTTGTTTTCTCTAAATTCATAATAAATTTTTTGTCGTCCGGCTCTCCTCATGGAATGGATACCAACGTTTGGCACCCAATCAAAAGTTGTGTACTTTGTGTCATTTTTTTGCACTGCAAATGTCTTAATATACCCCAACAAGAATTTGACTGACAATCATAGGAAAGATCATCTCGACCCGGAAAATATTGTGAAAAGATTTGCGGCATGTTTTATCATCTAGTATTTTGTTTGGACTTTTAAGTTGCTTGTTTCCTGTTTTTGGTTCAAATAAGAAAATGAGAAAGGTCCGAATTTTGGAATGAAATAACTTGTTCAAACCCAGTAAAACAAATTGAAGGTGCAACTAATGATTACGATTTGAAATTTTTTCTGTAGAAGCCAAAGAGCACATACCAAACTAAACTCAAACATGGTACCAAAGAGACATATCCACATCCCAAAGTGTAATCTACCTTGGGGTCAGCATAAGACGATTCGCTCTTACAGTCTTGATAGTACATCTTGCACTGGAGACAAATTGCAGAATTCCGTCTCTCTTTTTTACTTCAGTGGGAAGAAAGCAAGGCAATTCGTTTGGACAATTGCAGCAGTCGTTATTAGTTTGGCTCTGCAAGCTGGAGACAGTATAAGCGAACGATCTGCAAATCATATTCTCTCGTCTTCCCTGAGAAATTTTTAGTTTATGCGTTTATGATGCCACTTCCATGGGACTTAATTTGCCATTTTCACAAGAGATTTTGTCTCTCTTTGGCTTTGGTTTTGGAGTTTCAGAGTTAAATTTGTACATCAACATCATCAAAACTCATCTGGCTGCCTCAGAGGTCAAAGCACGGTGAATGGCTTCTGGTGATGTCTCTGTCTCTGTCTTACTTCTTTCTGTCTGGTCGAGCATCAATCTTTCATCTTGCCTTGCCCATGTGATTTTCATTCATAAAGGATGGTTGCCCTCTGTCTTATTTGATTGATATGCAACAGAAATGGTGGCACTAGTAATTATGTCGCTCCTCTGTTATTATATGCCATTCAGAATCCATCAAATGGAAGTTTTTTTATTAAGTTTTGGGTTTTCGATGGAGATTCACATCCGCAACACCCTTCATCCGTTACATATCACCTTCGATGTCTCACTGCAGCCGTGTGACCCACGAGCATGATTTAATCCCCTAGTGAATTATTGTGGTTATAATAGAATGATTATTGCTTCCATTGTTTAGTGGAAACGGTAACCAGGACCATACAGGAGACTCCATCGTCAATGAAATCAGGCAGTGGTTTTGGACTTTCTGGGTCACACTTCTTGAATACCGGCGCTCTGGCACTATTTTAGGTTATCACAAGTTGGGAGGGCTTACATGAATCGCTTTTTGCATAAGGTATCGGCATAGCTCTTGATGAGTATGAATTTGAGCAATTCCATACCATTGAAGGGTGCTCTTAGTGTTCTCCTGTGATATAGAACACCTGAACAGCGCCCGGCATATTAGCATCCATGACCTATGTCCAACAAATGCAGTCGATATTGGCATCAAATTATACAATCTGATTCTGATCTAATTAACGCACATGATTCATTTTTTGAGATGATAGTCGTATGTTCTGGCATTACTTCTTTCAGGTACCCTAGGAACTTCAAGAGTTAAGATATCAAATCTCAACTTCAATAGAGCAAGAGTTGGAGAAGCACATGAATCCCATTTGAGGATAACTTGGACAGTGCACAAATCACAGAATCATGCAGGTTTAAGGATAACTTCCAGGACAGATGACCAATGGAGAATATACAGTACTTCATCTTCTGGAAGCCAATGTAAGTACTCATCACTGATGTCTATCCTTTGCCTTTTACTTTTCAAAAAATCCTAATCTACCAGAGTTTCACTTAATGAACCTTTGTGCACTTACGATTTGAAAATCATCAGAACATAGTCAAAGAAAGAAACTAAATAAAGTTGTCTTATTTGAAGACTAATTTTGCTGTGGGCTGGCCTATAGTCGATTACTGTTGACGTTGATTGCTACTTTGTACATGTAGACGGTTCCAAAACGTCTGGTTTCCCAAGGAGACACGCACCAGATCTATCTGAGGTTGAGTTCCTTCTTGCTGGTGCACAACTCATTTATCTCCTGTTTTCCTCTTATGCTTCATTAAGACTATATACAGCTTTTCTTCTACCCAAGCTCCTTAATTAGAAAGGCACAAGTGGATTGTGGCATAATACAGACAAGCATACTCAAAATGAAAGAGAAGAAATAATGCTTTATTTCATATTTGTTCTGCCTTGAATATATGTTCATAATATGATTTGCCTGAATATGACACTAACGGAGAATCTACTTCTACCAATCCTAACCCTAAACGATAAAAAGACTCCATGAAACTCTGGTCAAGTTCCAACATACGTACGTCTTATGTGTTAGACTTTGCTCTCCAGATTTTCCTGTCTCTCCATCTTTGCTCTACTTGATAATCTAGTTAACTTCTGAGGCAAAGTATGATGAGATCTAAGCATCTGTATAATTAGCAGTTTAAAATTTTGATAGGAGGCTGCAGATTATGCTTATGATGATGACTCTAAACAAAGTATCTTGCTCTGATTTATAGGCACGCTTAATGCAGGGACAAGTTTCTCAACTTCTGAATTTTGGAAATAAGAGTACCCTTCTACAGGAAACTTTACAAGTAGTTACCTTGCTAAGTCAGTTGAGATTTATCTGCAGGTTGGATCTCTGATAACTGGCATATGCGAGGCAAGTTCAGTTAAAGAATTTGAAATGAAGGTAAGAAGACCTGGGTTGGGTTCACAAATTCATGTAAACTAAGAGGATTTCACAATTTGGGCTCCAGCCAACTTGTAGGAGTCTTTAAAGATACTCAGATCCAATTAAAGTTCTCTTTGTTTTATTCCTCTCTGCATTTAGCTCGAAGGTTTTCAGCTATATTTGCTGAGGAATCCGACCAGAAAAACTACCACCTTACCTCCATCTCCCCAGTTGCATGCTCCTGCTAAAGCCGATGCAACAGCTGAGGAACCTGTTGCAAGTGCTTTACTCCCAGAAACTTCTTTAGCTATCACCAAATCGATATTCTCCGTAAGTAGATGGCAGATAACGCTAAAGAAAGCCGCTAATGAAGGCTTGGTTGTACTTCAGTCTCCTAAGGTAAGTCCACGTTTGAAAGTAATAATCTCTCTCTCTCTCTCTCTCTCTCTCTCTCTCTCTCTCTCTCTCTCTCTCTCTCTCTCTCTCTCTCTCTCTCTCTCTGAGCTTACTTATCAAAGTTTTATCTGAACCAGGTGGGGTTTTTTAAAAGATCTCGTACTATAAAAGGGACGCGTGCTCCGCCTGCATGTAAAGAGGTAAAAAGACAAGGTTATAAGGCCCGTCTATAGTTCCGAATTGCATCGTGAATTCTTGTCATTATTTTTTCATGTCTAAGTTCTGAACATCTAAGTTATCGAAAAGGGTTTAGCAAATTAAAGGAAAGAAGTTTGACACATAAGCTAATTTTCTTATAGTAGTTGGTTCAGAGAGTGAGTAACCCATCTTCTGCAAACTCCAATACCGCCAAAGACGACCAAGCGACTCGGTAGCCAGGCCTACCATTGTAAAGCTAACAGAGCTCCATTGAAACCTTTATACTTAGCCATGGACTTACTATTTCGGATCAATGACTTGGAAAACAAGTCCGACCGGCTTGTTACTTGTTTAGAGATTGAGCTCTGCTGAACTGGATGGTGTTACCGAGACTACCAAAATGGAAATAAACTTCTCATACACAACAACTTACGCTTAGTGTATATCTATCTTCTAAACTAAAATCTCACTTTTATCTTGCAGAGGCAAATGGTGAAGGAGGGACAAGTAGTCTGTTACATCGATCAACTCGGTGGAGAGATGCCAATCAAGGTCAAGAGGATTTTTCTACTGCTCTTATGTTCTTTTCTGTTCCATTTCACATGCGTTAGCGCATTTTATTGCAATAAAAGTTCAGTTTGCGGTCTCAGATGGTGAATCTCTTTTTAACCACAGGCTGATGTATCTGGGGAGGTCATCAAGATCCTTCTGGAGGATGGAGGTATCTTACTTCTAAACTTGCTGTTTTTCTTCTTCCCTCGCCCATTTCTGGTGAGTTTCATTTATCTCATTATTCGTGGTGTTCATCTTACAGATCCGGTTGGATACGAGGATGCTCTCATAACCATTCTTCCTATTTCGCCCGAAATAAAGATGTTGCAGTAGATGGTTTTTCTAGAATTTGTTTCACAATTCCAAATTATCCGTGCCAACTGATTGAATCTCTTATTGACTTCACCCAAATCAGATGTGACCTTTTCATTTGGCCCATTTGTACCTTTTTTTTGGTCAAAAACCCCTTTCTACTTGACTGAGTCCGTGATTGTATCTTCAGTATATGACCACTGCTCTGCGATAATGGAGCAATTGCGCATTTATCCTGTCCTTTTTTACTCCTTCATGCTCTTATTTGGTGGGGAAAGATATGGTAATTAAACCGTTCATCAGCTATTGTCCACAATTACATCCTTGGAAGATCATTAAGAGACATCTTATTTCTAACCATCATCACACGGATTTTTTTAGCACCTCAAATGAAAGTTTCTACTACTTGGGGCAGCTTATCACAGAACATTACAATGTGAGATCACAACATTCGTACCGCAACCATTGTCACATGATCATGTATTGAGGGTGGGAAGAGTAATTAGGTGCCGATATTTTTTCCGGCATCTCTCTCTAATTTTTACTCATGGACAGGGGATGCACTCTAATGGAGTTGGCCTTAAAAATCTGTATGGTTGACGTTAATCTAGTCAACCAGAATGAACGGGAGTGGAGCACGAAGCTTGATAGACTATAATTGCAGTTCCTAATAGCATAGCATGAAAGTGGAAGGTGTTCAGTATCACAAAACCAGCGGTAGAAGTTGGAAACTAAAAAAAATCAAATGATCAAAATCATTGGGCAACGACTTGATGAAATGCTCTAATGCAGCTCCTAATCATGTCATATTTTTTTCTAGAGTTGCTTTACACAAGGCTGGTTCGCCCAGCGAAAAATATGATTTCTCAGTTAATCCTTCTAATTCTAGTATTTTGCAAAGAATCGTACTAGATGTCATATACAGATGGATATAACTATCTTTTATTTGTGTTTTGCTTTCTCATGTTTCAGTCTATGCATATCGACCTCCCTAGTTCTGCACATACGTACTATCTTTCTCACATCCTTCCGCATTGAGGCGTAGGCAGAAACTGCTGCAAAGAACAACGCCGGGTACATACAAATGGATTTTGTTGGATTGGAGTAAGCAGTCTTTGCAAGCATGACTTCCCTAGCCAGGCCCCAAATGACTAGAAGCGCACCGAAAAAGCTCATCTTCACTGGCTTCATGAGACTAAGAAGAGCTCCTGCCACCATTAAGTAGCTCCCCGCGAGTACCTGGTGTATAAGCCAGAGTGAGAAGGAGAAATTATAAAGAAGCTCGCCATGACAAAGAATCAAATGGCCTTTTCAACTTGCAAAATGCGCTCAGCTTGAAACTCAAAAAGTTGTGTAGACTCTGCATTACAGAAAAGCATGGCAATGCAACTTTTCTGTGATAGAAAGTGTTGAACCTATAACTAGAGGCTCCAGAGAGGATTTATTCAATACCTGGCCATGCTTGCCAGAGTTCAACTAAAGCAAAAAACAAAAATGAAAATAAAGATCGTGAATCCTACATAAGACAAGAATGGTGCAAAGGATACAAAAGTCAATGTGTGATTAGATGACACATGAGGAGCTTCCAGATCATTCCGAGTTTGCTGCTCTCTAGTCTTAACCTTCAGCAGATGAAGAAAAACTCCAAATAACACAGAATACCCCAACTAGTAAATTAAAAATGCCATTGTTAGAGAAACGGTGAAGACCTCAATGCGTCGAAGATCTATAGCTGATGAAACCGCCTTCGAATTGGCGAAATTGTAAGTGTCTAGCAAGTCATCATAGCTTGGTATGGTCTTGCTCATCACAAAAGCATTGGCAACAGCTCCCGGATAGAGAAGAGCTTTAACTACAGACTGAGGGAAGAGTTCGCTCGCAAACAACTGAGAGGATGTAACCTGCATTGGTGTTGTGCACATTCCAATCCTACATGGAACCCTGCAGAGCCAGAAGAAAAACGACATAGTTGAATCTGCAGATGCAGAACACTGAAAACATACAGTAACTTCCTCTAAGCCACATATCGGAGAAAACAAACCAGACCCATAATCACATCCACCTGTCATCAACTCGAACCCACCGTCTTGTATGTGCTGGTTTTCTTAATAGAATAACGTGTTTGGATCTTTTCTTCATTCCTTATCCTTTCAATAGTCCAACCATTTCTGGTTTTATAATCTTCTCAAAGTGTTTATATAAAATGAAACTACTAAATGATACTTTGATTGGTGGCAATTACCGCATAGGTAATTGCCCATCAGCACTCTAAAAATCGACCGCCCGGAAAACTATAACGACATCAACAATCGATCAATCAAGGGATTCACTTCTAGCCAGCGCCAGGTTAGGAACCATTCACGTTCCTCCATTTTCCCTCTCTCACAGCCATATTCTAGATGGAAACATTAAAACGCATTAAAAGCAGGGCATAAGAAACTGGAAGAAGCAAACTATCAAGATCACATATTTATCTTCGTGGAAATGTAGTGTTTGCTTTTAATCGAACACGTCAGTCACCTTCCCAAAGAAAACACAACATCGCTTCTGTCATCATCAAGAACCGGACATTTTTCCTACAGTACGAGGGTGAACAAATCGTTGATGCATTTGTTCTCTTGTCCTTGTCAAAGACCGAAAACGAATGACCCATTTGCGCTAGGAATCAAACCCAGATCACCAAATGCAGACCCAATCACAGCGGAGCAAGAAAACGACATCATCATGGCACCAATCTTTCCATATAAAAAGATTCTTAATTTCTTGATCAAACGTTCACCATATCATGTCAGCCGAAAAGGGTACAAAAGGAACGGGAAAAGAGAAGCTCAAGTGGGGGGAGATAAACGGCGGAACATTACCTGAAAAGAGGGACCTGAAGAATGATGAGGAGAAAGAACGCAAACGCAGCAACGGAAGAGATTGCTCGAGCCCTTTTCCTTGAAGAAGACATTCTTCCTTTAATTGAGAAAAAAATCGAAGCTTTGCGAATAGAAAATCAGCAAAATCTTGGTGGGAGACCCCCACGAAACCGAGTTGAAGCGGGAGGTTGCTTTTCGCGAGAGATCATGGCGGTAAACTTCCAAATTTCGCGGTCCCACGGGCTCCTGCCCGCCGTTCTTCTTCGATTGGTCGTTTTCCGCGAGAAACGACCTGTCGTTGTTGCCTGGTAGCCACGTCGACTTTTTGGAAGATGTTCAAAAGTTGCAAAACTCATTTTCGATTTTTGGCATCCAGATCCTTTGTACGATGGCTTACCGTCGCGTAAGCCTTTGTAATTCTGATGTAACATTAAATGAGATGTGACGAGCGAGGGAGGCAGCACCCCCAAAAAAAAAAAAAAGAGAAAAAGTTTCATGCCCGATTGCAATAAGATTTGATTGCATAAGTTTCGTGAGCTAAAATTCTTCGAAAATGAAGATCAAAACGCTTTCATGAGTGTTGAGTTGCGATATATATAATCAGTCAAAAAATTCAATGAATTTATCCTAATCGAAAGTCTTAAAGAGTATTTGTGGAAAAGATATAATGGGTAATGACATGTTACTAAGAGAAAGAAATTGAGTTTCAGTCCGAAACTTGTAAAAAAAAATGCAAAATAAATGGTTTACTTTGTCACATGTCGTTACTCGTCAGAAAAATCCATTTCGCGGTTCGAAAACTGTCTTGATTTGGATTTAGATTACGCGAGCCGACTATAGGAGCAAAGTAGCAACTGAGCAACTTCCGTGAATTTGCGCTAAACTGGTAAAAGGAAGAAGGCAGAGAAAATCTAAGTCGGAAGAAAGTGAGTGAAAAATTCTCACTTCAGTCAATGGTTTCTTAATGGTTTCCTGGTGGATTTTAGTTAGTTTAAGCCAACATTTTGCATAGAGTAGTATGATGAACATTTGGAGCATCTCATTCTGAAGGCCCTACCACCTTCAGAAAAAGTCAGAAGTAAGCACCCAAGAAATTATAGATGCAAATGACTGGTTCAGAACTTCAGAAGTGGCACAGAGATTGTAGCTTCGTTTTCTTTATATTCACTCCACAACTCCTCTTGAGGGCTCTTCCAAGAACCAACCTCTCTCACTTTTAAAATGAAAACTAGTACGAGAAAAGCATAAATTATCACATCATCACATGTGGGTCAGACAAATGAATTCAAGTGGGTCACGCATCCCCATGAATACCCCCATCTTCAATGATTCACCACCAATAATCGCACGGTGACCACATAGTTGCTGTTGGATTGAAGCATGTATAGATATAGCTGCGCAATTCAGCTAGACAAAACCTTCACCGTCTTCTGTAAAAAAAAATGTGGAACAACCTTCCGTTAGACATCCTTGCCAAAATCTTCTCCTTCCTCTCTACGGAATCGTTGGCCCGGGCCAACTCGGCTTGCCGGCATTGGCACAGGTGTGGCAGAGGTTACCTGCTGAGCACCGGATCTGCGCTGACCTGGAAGCATCCACCGTGGTTTGTGGCGGTGCCTATTCGCAGCCTCAGTGCATGTTGCTATGTCCACAATCCGAATTCGGATAATTGGCATGCCCTTCCCATTGATTTCTTGCCGGACCCAGTGAGGCTCATTTCTCCTATTGGTGGTGGTCTTATCCTGTTAAGATCCACAAATACCACAGTCCACCAATTAGCTCTGTGTAACCCTTTTACCAGGCAATATAAGCGATTGCCAAAGTTGAACATTTCGCGCACCAATCCGGCCACAGGAATAGTAATGTTAGACCCGAGCCGAGGTGCTTCGGCCCCTGCTTTCAGGGTGTACGTTGCTGGAGGAATGTCTGATGCCCCACGCAGTTGTGGCACGTATGAGTCCACGTTGGAAGCCTATGATTCAGTTCATGAGAGGTGGCGGATTATCACGCTGATGCCAGTGGAATTTGCGGTGAGGCTGACGGTCTGGACTCCTAATGAAAGTGTATGCTGTGATGGGGTGCTGTACTGGATGACCTCTGCCAGGGCCTACAGCATCATGGGCTTCGAGATCGGGACGAATAAGTGGCATGAACTAAGCGTACCGTTAGCAGATCGGCTCGAATTCGCAGCGCTGATTCGCCAAAACGGGAGGCTGACGCTAGTTGGCGGCACATGCGGCGGAGCAGTATCCATGTGGGAGCTCGGTGAAGGTGAGGTTTGGAGTTTGGTTGAGGAAACGCCATGTGAATTGGGGTTGAAATTGTTAGGCAGGAAGGCGAATTGGGGCAGTACAAAATGTGTGGGTACCGATGGGGTTATCTGTTTGTATAGAGATCTTGGGTCAGGTATGGTAGTTTGGAGGGAAATGAAAGATAAGGGAAGATGGGAATGGTTTTGGGTTGAAGGATGTTGTTCTGTCAGAGGCAAAAAAGTGCAGAATTTCCCAATAAGAGCAGTGCTCCTTCATCCGAATCTTGCTCCATCTCACTTCCCCGATTAATGTAGACTTGGCAAAGCATTGATCTTAATGTCTATGTCCTGGGGAATTCTCTCAGCAAAATTTTGTATAAAAATGTAATCGCTGTTAATCAGTATCAAAGATATCGTCCTGCTTCCACCATGACTCCTCATTTCTGTTCTGCAGTAGTGAAATCACTGAACGGGAAAAACTCAGGATGTCGTTCAAGATTAGATGCAGGTTGTCTAGAAAACAGGATCCCTGCAATCAAACTATGATTATAAAGAATTGTCAAAGCAACTGTGCGGATATGACTCTATAGTTGATGGTGCATGGAACAAAGCCTGGAGCATTTTCTTACTGAATGGAAAATAAATTCAAAACTGCAGCTGGAGCACCATAGGCAAGGTTCTGGCGCCCTGTAATAGCTACTTGCTAGCTCCTCTGGTGGCTCGCACCAAGGGTGGTGTGGCTGAGCCACGTCGTGTGACGGACAATTCCATGGTTCCACTCTATCTTCCTAAGTCTCAATGACGCAAATTCTGATTATCAGAGAGGAGACGACTCATTTTTTTGTTTCAGCTGAGAAGATTAGTAAGAGGAAGGATTAAGAAGGTCATATAGTGCTCAAAGAAGATGTACAGAGGATACTGCTGCCAAAACCCCGCATGATCTTATTTTGGTGCATGATACCCTACTACAAGGGCTCACATAGCAGACCCTTGTTTGTCAAAATATGATTGGGGATATGAGTGAGAAGGGTAGAGTGGATAGTCGAAGGGTGTCAAAAATACCCAACCCGAACTAGTCAACCATACATTATCATCTGCAGGTTCTGCGATGATGGTTCTCACTTATCAGATCTATCTCAGCAAAGCTGTATACAGCATCCTGAGGTGCACATTCCGCCTTTCTCGAGGAATTTCAAGAGTGCTTGCCCAACAAAGCTATTCTTCCATATTCAGTCCATCCACATAATTTTGATGATTTGGCTGGTGGATATCACCTTGAAACTTACCTATATGAATGCCGAGAAACCACATACCAGATGAACATCTTAGAAAATAGCATGCTCTAAGACTTCTTATTCACATAATATCACGTAAAGTGTAGTAATGATGGCCTTGAATACTTCAAGTATACCTAGACGACTGGAAACAGTCCAGCTCTCAAATGGATAAGGTGGTGTTATTGCCTGAAATCAAACTTTTACAGCTTGCGCTCTCAACAATTGTGAACAGTTTATGAGAATGAGAACGTTGATATGAATGCTTACTAAGTTCAAAATGAAACCATCAAGTGCATGAAAGATGCTCTCATTAGAGCAGCTTCGACAGTTTTTAAGAAGAGTGGAGCAAGATTAAAGCCAATTACTGTGGGTATACAGATCAGGATAAGCCTCTATCTTTCTTCCTCTACCTGCTACATGCAAGCCCCAAAATTCGATGATTTCATGAATCTCTACCTCAAGGACATACTGATAGCACCCGCCATAAGCACATGACCAACTGAATACTAATTGAGCAGGACATGCTTTCTTTCCAAAAAAACATAGAAGAAGAAAAGATACTATAACAGTCCATATTTGGGATAAATTAGAAAGGCACTGCCCTTTGAGTTCTCTTAGTTTTTTTCCCCTCATATAACTAGATATGAAAATAATCTTCCTATGTTAGACTTCATTCAAGTTGTGGGAACACTGAAGAACATACTGCAATAGGAACTGGAGAGACCAGACGCAACACAATTGAAGAACTTTTCAACAAGGGTATTCCTGTCACTTTGGATGATCAGGCTGTAGATATAGTCACGAATTAGCTGCTTACCTTATCAATGCGTGGGATCACTAAATTCTGAATATAAGTATCCTCTCAATTATAGAGTTTGTAACATAACATGCACGATGGACTTCACAGTGGAATAACTTAAGTATGGCTGATGTGATTACACTATTGTAGCATGCAGAAACAACTGCAATGGAAATTATGAAGCTTTTACCTTACCAATTAGCACTCAGAAAAGGAGTCTCAAGCACATGCAACATAACCATAAGATGGACAATTGATTGGTGCAACTCATGAAGACACGAAGACTTAAAAAAAAAATTATTCCTCACTATTAAAGGTGAGATAAGTATATATGCAGGGAGTCTGAAGACAAAAATGCAAAGATCTACAGCAAAATTACATAAATACACTTCATGTGGAAAGCAAAGAGGCATGCTGTCAAAATTGTGTGGGCATGAACAAATGTACAAATGCATCCCTTAAATTTTTGCATGCCACTTCATCCCCATGGTAATTTGCCAGTACCAATGGACTATCATTCCACTAAAAATATCATTGGGAGAAAAAGTGAGACAGCTATATGATGAGATGCATTACCCCATATGGCTACTTGGCAATCAATAAATTTGTGGAGAGGCAGCTGCATTTGCTAAATTACATGCAAAAAGCCAAGAGGGACCAAAATCATTCATTTGCACAAAGCCTATTGAAAAGATACAATAATTCACCATTATTGAGTAATCCGTCCTGCTAACAGCACTCTCAAGTACATCCAAAGTTTCATGTATTTGTACATCTGTGGTGATCATATTTTTGCTGGCTCTTAAATGAGTTCTACTATAGCTAAAAAGCCATTGCGTTCTTCTGCTGAAAGCCAAAAGCAGAAAAATTAGGCAGTATGTCACTTCATTGCTAGAATGATTTACACTTATTTCTGCAAGTTAAACCAGTAATCACGTCTGATCTTTTCTCTAGGGCATTGTCAACTATGTCCAGCTGTCTGACCAGGTAAGATAATCAGTATTCTGGACTGACTCACTTCTGCTTGTTTTTCCACCAACTGCTTAGCTCATGCTCATAGCAGCGGCACAATGCAACTGCAGTTCAGCTAGAGAGCCTGTGGCTGCCCATCGAGAATGCGTGGACTGGGTTAACTCCGTTGGTCAGCTCAAGAGTTCCTCCATTAAACCCTGTTAATAGAATCCAGAGCGACTGATTGATTGGAAAATTTGATAAAACCAGATAATATCAGCAACTTGACGGAACAACAAACCTGACAAATATATTGTTCAGCATCAGTTCGTTTGAGAAAGTGCATCGAGTAGCGAGCAAGATTGGCAGACCGGTCAGTGAGCAACACTTCACCTATATCATCAAGAACTCTAACCTGGATGTACGGATCCTTCGGTGGCACCATATCCTGGCAAAGACTTTAATCATGCATTGAATATCCCATGAAGCACATACTTCTTACTTATCTTCTCTCGAAGAAATTAATTATTTAAGTGCTCTTTAGTCTTCATTGTATTGCACTTCCTAATTTACCTGAGAATTCTATGCTCACATCCAGTTATAAGAAAAGCAAAAACGTTGACACAAGTAAAATTTCAGAGAATCGTCATATTCTTCGGCCAACCAATCTGATAATGCCATCCCTTGGCACTCTATCCCCGGCGCAACACAAACAAGGATCAAAATACATAAAAAAATGTTAAAAGTATGACTTGATTTACAGGTCAAAACTCCAACAACTACAGAGGTTAATAATGCACACGGCTTGACAATAGATGTTGGAATCAGATGTAATTGCAGTGTCCTTACATCCCTTAAATAAATAAACGTGATGAACATATTAAACTCTGAAGCAAGTAACTTAAAGAAATAATGCATTGATAATTGTATGCATATCGTGGCTTTTAACTGTTAGAAGGATGTAACTGAGGCAATGAGTATTATGTCGAGATTTGAAAGTAGTGAAGCTTGTGGATAACAAAAAAAAGGCTTAGAGTTGGAAATTTCTGGTCGAAAGCAGTGAAATCCAGATCATGGCCAACAGTACAGGGATGAGGCTGAAAGTTCAAAAAGCAGGCAACTACCACTGGTAAGCATAAAAGGTAATGAAGTCAACAACGGAAAAAGGCAAGACATGCTGTACCATCTGCTAACTCTGTGAAATAAAAGCAAGAGATATAAAATAACTTCCATAAGCATGGTGACAATGCTGGAAAATTACAAACTAAAAGTGTCAATTGCACTATCATATGTCATCACAAGAAACCTTTCCCTAACAATAATACATGATAGCAAAGATCAGAATGCTTTCCAACAACGAAAGTCATATGAAAAGAATGCAACAGATGGAAGGAGAGAAACAATCACTTAATTAGACAAACCCCTATTAGCCACAAACAACATTTCTCAAAAGTCAATGAATTCAAAAACAAGAAACAGCGAACTTGGACTCCTTTGATTATCTTTACATGAAAGTGAGTCTTAAGATATCCCTCAGCTCTTCCCAGCAAATTAAGCATTGCCAAATTTTCATTAACTAGATATGTCAAGATGCAGTGATCATATCTCAAGATTAACATTTCTAGCTGTTTGCATATAAATGTTGTAATTGTCACCAACGACTGTATGATACGACAAAATCTTTGGACATATTCCTACTTTGATCTCACTTTCCTATATGCTCAGTAGTACATTCCTTGTTTTTCCCACCGTACCAAGGAGCACATGAAGTATTCGTCAAGCCAAACTTCTCAAGTAAAACCACGCTAACGTTGACTTGACATATTTTTAAACAGATGTCTCAAATCAGGAGGACCAGATTCGGATAGAGAGGAGTGGGGCTTACCACTGTCAAATCCAGATTCATTTCATTCATATATGCATCCAGAGCAGCAGAGTAACCCTTAAAGTACTCCTTCTCAGAGTTGCTTAACTTCGTAACGAGTTCATTGGGAAGCACACGCCCTAACTTCCACCTCAAACTTCGAATAACATCTGCTCTATTGCACCTTCAATTCACAAAATCATGAAGAAAAATAACTTTAGGGTAAAAGAGTTGAACAACAATTACATGGAGCAATTCAAGAAAAGTGGAGAAGACAGGGAATACTATTATTTTTACATGTATGCCATTAGGCAGCGTTTATTCCGGGTCAGAGAAAGATGATGAATCAGTGCACCATAGTAATCTGCATTTCTGGTTGTTTGGATATCCAAGCCTTCCTCTTGCATATTCCTATTGCAACATATTCATGTAAATCCAAAGTCTGATAAGACCAAACTTTTGCATAATGCAGTTGAGCAACTTGAAATGATGCTAGAGCCAAACTCGTAGTGACAATAAGAAAGTAAAAAGATGTGAATCCTTGAGATCACCATGAACAGATCTAGTAAGTTCACTGCGGTAAAATACACTTGCACTGGTTAGAAGTTCCTCTCGTTCTATAACAACCATAGTCGATATGTAAATTTTTCAGTTGAAAAGGGTAAAACATGAAATTCTGCTGCATGCCCATACTAGATGATAACATGATGCTATGCATTTATGGCAGTCATACCAGCTAGATTTTATATGCTCAAAATTCTTTCTGGCTAAAAATTAACTCTGGTAAAGACAGAGAAATGTATGAAAATAATCTGCTCAATAGCCAATACTTGACCACATAAAGAGAATGACACAAATTTATAAGAAACATAGAGGAAATAGGATTACCTGAACAAGGCCTGAAGCCCAACATGATGTGAACTACATTCTTTAATTACTTGATTAAATAAGTCATCCTGCATGATTATAGTGAGAGAGTATGGTTATATGTAGCATGTGAAAGTCATTTGATCTAGTAAAACGCACAAATATTCCAGAGTAAGATGAGTAGAATAGAGAATCATGGAATCTTGCCTTGATAAAAGATAAGATAAGATAACACTTGATTAAATATGCAGGTAGGGTTTGGCGAAAGGACAATGACTAATAGTGCTGGAACATGCAGTGGCAAAAAGAAACCCTTAAAAGCAACCTTAGAGTTACAAGATATCGGCTATGAATTTATTAGAGAAGTTAAACACAAAGGCATGTATTGCTTATATGGCTCCCCAGAAAAGACTACATTCTACATGGTACATCGACAATATGCCCAAACTCGACACATGGATAATGAATAGAAAGTGTCCAATATGGCCATGGCGTTTGCATCAAGAGAGATTACTATGGTAACATGTTTATAAAGTCAAGAACGAAATAATCAATCAATCAACAGCTAAGTCCATCTCAATAAATTACAAGTGGTGCAATTGCAGCAAGACTGAACTACAAATCATAGTAGAAAGAAGCACTACACCTCCCTATCGCTCTGATTCTCGTCATACTTTGACTTTAGCACCTTTCTCAAGCAAACATATCACGCTTCAGGTATGAGTCGATTTTTAAGGCAGAAGGCAATAAGATAAACAAATATCCAAATAAATGTGGGTTTTAGCATTTGAACACCCATTGAAAGTTCCAAAAGACATCGAAAGGCATACAAGAATCAAAGAACTCCGATATTGGGACCCGGAAGCCGAAATACATATACGCGGGGAAGCACGCAAAATGCTAGAGCATCAGATCGCGAATTCACATCGAAACCACGGAATGCGAATTGCTAGAGCACAACAATATCAAACACGGAACTCACATTAAAAGGCCTGAGCTGCCCCTTCTCGCCGCCAGTGAGTTCCTTCACCAACTGGCTCGCCTTTCTCCCGTACATCTCGTCCTAGCTGCCAGAAGCTCACAATTCAGTTATGTCACAGTGCCCGAGAAGAACCCATCCCCTCCCCAAAAAAAAAAAGATTAGTAATTTCATCAAACACGTCGCCCGCATGAAAAATCCCAGCCGAACCCAACAGTCACAGAACGCCAGCTTACCCAGGAAATCCTCCGGATCTGAGCTCTCGGCCGCAAGCGCTCTCGGAAGGACCAATCTTGATTCAGGATCTAGGGGAAAACAGGCATCAAAGAATCGCACTTTGCGAGGGCGAATGCAGCAAAAAAAGCGCCCTCCTTATCGCTGCTCCGCGCGCGAGAGGAAAAGGGGGCGAGAGGAAGAATCGACGGACTGCGCCGACAGACTGGTCGAGAGAAGATGGTGGGGTTGCGCTTTCGAGTTTTGGCGGGTGAAATTTGACGGAGATTCCGAAATAAGACCGCTTTTGTTTGATTTTGTCTTAACGCTCGAAGTCGAAACCAAAAACACGCAGGACGGAGCGCGCTGTCGGGCCTCCGGGCCGGGCCCGAGCTTAGGGAAAGATATTGGGCCTGGGCCTAATGACCGGCCCGGTCCAGCTAACGGGCAGGCACCGAAGGAGCTTGTTCACGAGGATGGTGCGGAATCACCAAAAAAAAAAGGATCGTTCGAATTGGAACATTTTTAAACTTAGGGAAAATGACGCAAATGGTCCATGAAATTTGATCAAATATGCGATGTTGTCCCGACCTATTCATTTGTTCAATGTGATTCATGAACCGAGTGACTGAATTGAACATGTACCTAAAGTTTATGAACCACATTGAACAAATCAAAAAGACAATTTTGAATATTTTCACATAATTCAAGGACTCGATTGAGCATATACCAAAAGTTTATGAACCATAAATTAAATGTTCAAGGATGTTACTGCACATTGAACCAAAATTCATTGATTATTTGTGTAATCATATCTTTAAATTGTATATAATTCGAAAGCTTAATCTATCTTTTCCAAAATTTTGTTCACCGCATGTTTCATGAAAAATTGTGGGTACCTTCATAATCAACGAAGGGGGGTGTGATTGCATTTGGTTGTTGATAAGTTCGTACATGCATCGCCAATTTGACATTACCTGTACAAGCTTTTCTTTTGAATCAGCGGACTACCTTTTAAGGACATTATAATGAGGATTAGAGATAAGTGTCATGAAAGTCTTCAAAACTTGTCATAAAAATGCAATTGAGGCCTAAAACTCTCAAAAAGTGCTTAAACAAGTTTTAGGAATTAATTACACTTTTTGAGAGTTTTAGAACTTAATTGCACTTTCGTGACAAATTTTAGAACTTGATTGCACCTTTTGAGAGTTTTAAGACTTAATTGCACTTTAATGACAAGTTTTAAAACTTTCAGGACACTTATCCCTATGAATTACTACCAGAAGTCACTATGAAAGCGAGCTATAAGAATTAAATACCTAAATTCATTCGAAAATATCGATGAGAACTCAAATGTTCCGCACATCAGTCAATCGGATTGCTAAGTCCATAAAAAAAAAAAATTTATAATGAGGTTCGTATGGCTCGATTTGATTAGTCAAACATTGGTGTCATGGTTTCACTGTCGATGTCGTTATTCACCACGGGAGGCATTGTTCCAAAACAAGAAAAGAGCAGAGCGAGTCGCCATGTTTGACGAAGGGCTGGCTGTCTAATTCGAAACTTTGAATGTTCCAAGGAACAAAATGCGATGGTTCTCTGTTTTGTTCTTTGTTTAACTCCCATCGACTTATGTACGCCAAAGAGGAAGAGGAAGAAGAAGGTCACGTTGACTCGGCATCGCATATGACTTTCTACTTTAGCGTTCTCCGCGGTTGATCGAGTCATTCGAATGCTGCATTCGAAATCGATCAGCGCCGGATGGTATTTGATGATCGCTAGCTGCTCAGAATTTGCCAATGACCCTCGTATCATCTCGATTCAATTCTCTCTCCGGTCGGGAACGGCAAACCCGAGCCATCGTCACGAGATGTAGGCCTCGATAGGGTCGGGCCAAAATTTCGCACAAGACCGCTCATCGCTTCATAATCATCAAACTATCGAGTAGGGCCGAACTTTCTTGCTAAGCGACCTTACCCAAATCCGTCCAAAGAATGATTCGGCCGGCCTCGGGTCGAGACCTGGCAGCTCGTTTTCCGCTAGCCCCGAGACCATGTCTAGTTGGGACACATTTACAAAACTCACATAGACGCTCGCTCGCTCGCTCGCTCTCTCTCTCTCTCTCGTCCTGTCGCTTTCCTTCTTCCACGGCGTCACGGGGAAGACTTGGTGGAACTTGGGAATTCAATTCAATTCAATCCCAATGATTGATGGTGCTGATCTTAATTTAAGCGAAGCACGGCAAAGGACGCAAGGCAACTTCGTGAATGTTTCCGGGGGGAGAAATAATCCATGGCCGAGTCAGACAAGCAACCTTTGCCAGAACGTACGATTCTCGAACCTTTGGTAGCCATCCGGCCTCGGACCGGTCCTATCTTCAGAAAGTCAATGTATCGATCTGGTGCGCATCGGAAATCGAGACGGGGAGGGAAAAAGAGAGAGAGAGAGAGGGAGAGCAAGTGATTGAATCGATAGGTAACACAATGAGAGCGCCGATGGACGAGCGCCACCCAACGAGCAACAGCTAAATTTAACCCTATTGCCAAATAACCATCGGAAAGAGAACCATCCATCGCGATTTTTGAGCTTTTGTGCTTAATTCTTCGGAAAGCAATTGCAATAATCTAGAAGGCGTGATTGATTCTTGGAGGAGATGCGAATCGTTTCGGCATCCCAAATGTTTGTTTTATCGTCACTAATAATACAAGAGGAGATTCCTCCATATTTTCAGTTTCCAAACCCCACATCGTCAGCGAACGTGAAAGTAGGACTATTCAACTAGATTGGAACTATGACCCAAAAAAACAAAAAACTAGATCAGATTGCCCAGAAATCAATTCGGTTCTAATTTTTTGGAACCGATGAGAACCGGTCTAGATCCCGATTCAAAGTGAGGAACCCCTTGGGAACCGGACGGAATTTGGAACCAGTTCCATATCTTAAAAACCATAATATGCCTATTGGCATCTTTTTCTCTGACTATCTATTTTTCTTTGTTCTCTCCAAACTCTCACTCACTCACGAGTTGCCCTCCTCCTCGCTCGCTTGTGGCTTGGCCTCGCTCATTCGAGCCTTGCAACCCTCGCTCATTGACTCGCCTTCGCTCACTTGCCCTGATGCATCTTTTACTTTGAACCATTTTATTACTCATATTATTTTCTTCTAGGGCATGATTGATTCTTGGAGGAGATAGGGAATCGTTTCAGCATCCCAAATGTTTGCCTTATCGTCACTAATAATACAAGAGGAGATTCCTCCATAGTCTCAGTTTCCAAACGCCGCATCGTCGGCGAATGTGAAAGTAGGACTATTCAACCGGATCGGACCGTCCAGAAATCGGTCCGGTTCTAAAAAATTGGAACCGATGAGAACCGATCTGAATTCCGATTCCAAGTAAAGAACCATCTGGGAACCAGACGAAATTTGGAACCGATTTCATAAAGCTTTAAAATCATAATGTCTCTTGGCATCTTTTTCTCTTACTATCTTTTTTTCTTTGTTCTCTCCAAACTCTCGCTTGCTCGCGACTTGCCCTCCTCCTCACTCGCCTATGGCTTGCCCTCGCTCGTTCGAGTCTTGCAGCCCTCGCTCATTGACTCACTTTCGTTCACTTGCCCTCATGCATCTTTTACTTTGAACCATTTTATTACTCATATTATTTTACCGTAAAAAGTGAAAAAAAAAGGAAAATAAAAGAAAAACAGGTTCTCAGGTAGACTACTTTGGAACCGGACCGGAAAAACATTGTAAGATCTAAGGTCGATTTTAGGACGAACCGAGTAGTTTTCGTATTCCAAAAATTAGAAGCCGACTCTAACGGTATATGTTCTAAATTTTAGGTCTAGAACCTATCACCCCCACGCGAAAGGAGGACATTGCATGAGTGGGCCAAGCACCCAACTCAAAAAATCTACAAGGACTTTCTCGAATTTTGATCTGAGATGTACTGAGTCGTATCCAAGCGTGGCCTACTACGAGCAACACGTTCCCAACATGCAATGTTTGCATATTCACTGTTTACACATGTTGATTTTGCTCGGCGACTGGCATGCCCTAGAAGAAAACAAGGATCGCTTCGAGTCGAAGCTCGTCATCTTCTTGCAAAAGAAGATTATGTTTTTAGTGTTTCATTGCATCCTTCGATAAGACACAACATTTGTCGTCGCGTGTTAGTGCGTTTGACTAGAATTGGATCGACGATGGAATGCCTTTCAAATATAGTGGTGGGATGTGCTAATTATAGTGGAATCTTCTGCTAGATGTAGCTTCAATTTAAGGGTAAATTAAGATAAAACCTAGTACCTTGATCTCTTTTTCTCACCTTTATTATTTATTTCGTTGTGTTTGTATGCCATATCCTAACAACAGTATGGTATGACTATTTAAATGCTACGATAGATGGTTACAAATGGTATTTGAATTTAAAATAGTCCTATATTCAAAATAAATAATTTCTTCATCCTATCTGCGATTACAAGAATCCTAAAATAGTGGGACTAAACAAAACCACCCAACAATTACCTATTATCAAGTAAGATTTTTAGATATTCGAAAATATTGTTACTCGCTAGTCACACGTCAATACCGATTACTTCATTCCTAGTGAAGGTTCTCATCGATAACTGATTATTACTATTGTCGACTAAGTTTATCACTTATCGCATATAATCAAAAGTTGGTCATTTTGGGTACCAACAAGATGTAAAATCAACATATGTGCGGCTCAAATCTAAACCTTTCTATCAATGTAATTAAATACTAAATCTTTCAAAAAATGTTGTTAGGCTTCTTTCTTTTTTTAGTCATGACTTCTCCAATTTACCCTTATGTAGCTTGCTCTAAGGCTCTGACCAGCAAAATGAAAAATCCAATTTCACTAGGGTTAATACTACGAAAAATCTCAAACCAATACACTCGTGATAAATTTACCCTAAACTAATTTTTTGACCGTAAAACATCCCAAACCGGTACGCTTACAACAAACTTACCCTCCGTTAGTTTCCGTTAAATTGAATTAATACCACGGAAAATCACAAATTGGTACACATGTGACAAACAGAAGGTAAAACCCAAAACTGATACACCCATAAATTATTACGTGCCATCCAGCTCAACAATTTGATAATAAAATTTAACAGAAACTAACGGAGGGTAAATTTGTCACGGGTGTACCAGTTTGGGATTTTTGTTGGTCAACAAATTAGTTTTGGGGTAAATTTATCGCAGTAATATCAGTTCGGGGTTTTTCGTGATATTAATTCATTTCACTTTTCGTTATTCGACAAAAAAAAATTACTTTTTGTTAACTTAAAAAAAAACAATTCTCCTGTGATGGAGAGAGAGACACACACATAATTTTTATTTTTATTTTTTTGCTAAAGAGAGAGGGACACACACGATTTAAAAAAAGGAAAAATGGCACAAACAGTCTCTAAATTTTGGCCCAATATGCATTTTAGTCCTTGAACTTTTAATTTATTCAATGCAGTCCTTGAACTTTAACACAATGTGCAATGTGGTTCTTGAATTTTTGATTTATTCAATATCATTCATGAACTTTTGATGCATGTTCAATTCAGTTCCTGAATTATATGAAAATGTTCAATGCAGTCATTTCCATTAATTCAAGTTCAGGGACTACATTAAATATTTTCGTATAGTTCGGCCACTGAATTGAACATATACCAAAAGTTTGCGCTTGTCACAGCTTCAGAAGTCATATTTATGGATAGTTTCTTCGGTATTGTTATATTCAGAGCTGTTCGAACTACCTCCGTCCTTTTGTTTCATGTAATTTCTGAGGATTCGTTCAATTTTCATAGTTTCGATACAAATTAAAAGTTCATGGACCACATTGCACATTGGGTTAAAGTTCAGGAACTGTATTAAATAAAGGGTTAATACCACGAAAACCCTAAACTGGTACACTTGTGACACATTTACCCCAAACTATTTTTTTGACCATAAAAAATCCCAAACTGGTGCACCTGTGACAATTTTACACCGAACTATTTTTTTGACCATCAAAAACCCCAAACTGGTACATTTGTGACAATTTTACCCTGAACTTACCACAAAAACCCCAAACTGGTACATATGTGACAATTTTACCCTGAATTAAAATTTTAATATTATTTTTTATTTTTTTTCGAATTTTTATTTATTTATTTATTTTTTCCCTTTTATTTTTTTTTCTTTATCTTCAACCTCTGACCGGTCGCCGGTCCGGCGACCGGCCAAAGGCGGAAGCCGGCGAGGGCCGCCCTCGTCAGCGTCGGGCGAGGGCCGTCCTTGCCAGATCCGGCGAGGGGCGACCCTCGCCGGTATCAGGCGAGGGCTGCCCTCGCCTGCGTCGGGCGAGGGCCGTCCTCGCCAGATCCAGTGAGGGCGACCCTCGCCGTATCGGCGAGGCCGCCCTCGCTGCGTCCCGAGGGCCGCCCTCGCTGCGTCGGCGAGGCCGCCCTCGCTGCGTCGGGCGAGGGCCGCCCTCGCCGGCGTCGAGCGCGTCCTCGCCCGCCCGGGCAAGGGCGATCCTCGTTCGACTCGAGGCAAGGGCGCCCTCGCCGTATCGGCGAGAGCGCCTCGCCGTGATCGGGCAAGGGCGCCTCGCGATCTGGCGAGGGCGACCCTCGCCTGCGTCGGGCGAGGGTTGCCCTCGCCGGCGTCGGGCGAGGGCTGTCCTCGCCCGCCCAGACAAGGGCGAGGGCCCCTCGCTCGGGCGGCGAGGATGGCCCTCGCCAGTCGGGCGAGGGCCGCCCTCGCTAGATCCGGCGAGGGTCGCCCTTGCCGAGTCGAGCGAGGGCGGCCCTCGCCACCGGCCGCCGAGGGCGGCCCTCGCGGCTTCCGCCTCTGGCGGGCCACCGGGACCGCGGCCGCCGAGGTTGAAGTGAAGAAAAAAAAAAAGAAAAGAAAAGAAAAATTCAAAAAATTCAAAAAATAAAAAAATAATATTAAAAATTAGTTGGGGTAAAATTGTCACAGTGCAGGTTTGGGTTTTGTGGTATGTTCGAGGTAAAATTGTCACAGGTATACCAGTTTGGGGTTTTTTATGGTCAAAAAAATAGTTTGGGGTAAATGTGTCATAAGTGTACCAGTTTAGGATTTTTCGTGGTATTAACCCTTAAATAAATTAAAATTTTATGGACTAAATTGTATATTTTGTCAAAATTCAGAGACTGTTTGTGTCGTTAACCGTTAAAAAAACAAATAGAAATGACAAACAAAACGACTTCAATTTTGACTAGCAGACACATCAGATCATGACCTTTTCCTCTTCCCAGACTCTCTCTCCCTCTCGCTAGTTTCCACCCTCCCTTCCCTCTCCCTCTCCCTCCTTCTCTCTATATAAATGTCAAACTGAAAAGTCTTAAATGCATCGCCACTGCACGCATTGTGGACCTGTTGCTAGTTAAACTAATCTAAAGAAATGTCCACAGAGAGAGAGAGAGAAAGAGAGAGAGAGGGAGGTGTGATGGCTGGGTTGCAGAGATCTGAAGTCTCGTTCAGGAGGCAGGGCTCTTCAGGGCTGGTGTGGGACGACCGGTTCTTGTCCGGCGAGCTCCGGCGACGGGACGAGCTCGACCAGGATCAGGAGAGGGCCGCGCCCGGGGACGACCCGGGTAACGTCAAGCCGTCGTCGACCCCGGCGAGGGGGGCCGCCGCTCCTCCTTCCATCGAGACGCTGAGCCGGAGCCGATCCAGCAACGCCGCGGGGGGGCGGGGGTACCGGACCGGGAAGGTGTCCCCGGCGATCGAGCCGCCGTCGCCGAAGGTGTCTGCATGTGGGTTTTGCGGCGCCTTCGGGAAGCAAGCCAAGAACCGCAAAACCAAGCCTGGGAAGCGCAGATCGAGATAGGATCGGGTTCCATGGGTAGCGCCCGGTTGTCTGCTGGTGACTGGTCAGGGTGTATCTGCTTCAGGAGGTGAAACTGAAATTTTCTTCTCTCTTTTTATTTTTATTTTTTTGGGTATAAATATAGGATTTTAGTGATATATGAGATAAGATTTAGATGATAATTAGCGTGGTCTATGTCTCAATAAACTGAGATTTGTGGGAGTTTTGGGAACAAAGAAGTGGGAAAGTTTGGTACTTTGGTTCTTTTTTCTGCTTCTGTCCACCCTTTCTTCTTTCTTATGGGAGCTCAATATGCTGTTTCTTCCTTTTTGGGTTGGATTTAGATTCCAGAGAAGCTCTGTTCTTTCGTATGATGGCCTTTGTTTATGTGATCATGTGTATATCTGTCTGGAATTTTACGTGAAATTTCAATCTTTGTACAAAAGTCAAAGTTCCATGTGAACTCTTTCCTCTCTCTCTCTCTCTCTCTCTGTTTCTGTCCACACTGCGTACTGCGCGGCCTCCATGTGAATAGAGCTTGGTCTAAAAGTTGTTTGCTTATGAAATCATGGCTTCTGGCCTCCTCCTGTTGCTTAATTCATTTCCTTAGGTACATAAAAATCGCGGGCGAAATGTAAAAATAATCAACTAATTCAGCTTGAAGAGAAAAAAAGGGCGCTCTAGCACCGAATTGTCGCATCTTCCGGTGAACAGGATCATGCGTTCGTCCGCCGAAATTGATGGAACGCTTAATTAAGATCTCGGTCCCAGTGGCTTCGGGTTGGAGCGAGACAATAGGTTAGGAGGTCGAGGGTTCAACTTCCTACAGACAAATTTCCGATTTTGAAACTGGAATTTCTTGAAACCACTCATGTGTGTGTCAACGACATCCTTGTGGTCCTGTAAGATGGCGCTATATGAAGCTGAGGTTGGGCTAGAGGTCAAGTGATCTGTTGGTATTGATGGGGACCGACCATTTGGAAGTAGTTCAGAACGAAGATGTTTACCCGGTGCAATGAAGGAAATACGATTGCTGGCTATATTTAAGATCTTCCATGACATTCTGAGCAAAGTTGGTGTTTTTCTCGAACAAGAAAGGCTCCTCTCTGACACATCCTATTCTTAGTGTTCGTGTAGCTGCGCATTTTAGCTCCGAGGTAGTTTCAGGACAATCAGATGATGTGATCCCCAACGCCTTTTAACGTCTACACAGTCCTAGAAGGATCTTGAGACACAAAAGCCAACTCGTACCGTGGGAAACATGTGAAGTAGGGACGACAGATGCCAAGCAAAGTACCCACCAATTACTCTCCAAACAGAAAAAATGATCACGACCATCTCTTCCTCTGTCGCATCATCTTTATCGTCATTCTCGCTCAAGCTGCAATAAGCAGAGGAAACTGAGAGATTATCCAATGTTTTTGACCAATTTTTTCCTAAAATTTGCAATCTCTCAAGCTCTCCTCTTTCTTGTTCTTCTTCTCCTCCTCTCTCTTCTGGTTTATGAACATTCGGTCGAGTTCTTCCTCTATTCAGAAAATGGAGAAAATTAACGGTATGCCGATAAAGTTGCTGTACTCTCCTCCTTTCAATTGGGGAAATTTAGGAGATAGAGAAGTGGGAGAGACTGTGGGAATATTCTTTATCTTGATTTGTTCTTCTTCCTTTTTTTATAAGTAAAATCATCAATGGTGAATGAGGGGACCTAGATGAAGGACCATGAGGGGGCCAACCCCCCACTAAAGTGTCAAAACCATAATGGATCAATCAATGTGATGGGTATGATATAGGACGACTCATCTATGGACCACCTCAATAAAAGACTCCACCACCATCTTCCAATCCCTCAATTATCACCAAGTTCCCCTAATTTTATCTTCAAAACAGAGAAAAAAGAAAAAACCTTCACGTTAGAGAGAGATGAGTGCATTTGGTCACACCCAAGTTACAGTAAAATTGTCCAAAAAGTTCTAAATTTATTGCATTTTTATCAATTTAGTCATAAACATTTTAATTGTGCCAATTGAGTGCTGAATATTTTCATGTTTTTTCTTTTTTCCCTCCGCCGGCCATCATCAAGGCAAGGACAGTCCTCGCCAGGGGGCGGTGACCTCCCCGGCCATTGGCGAGGGCTGGCAGAGGCAAAAAAAAAGGAAAAAAAAAAAGAAAAGAAGAGAAAAGGAAAAAAGAAAAAAAAAGAGTAAAGAAGGAAAAGAGAAGAAAATAAAAAAGGGAATTAATAAAAAAAAATTGAAAAAATATTAAGATATTATTAAAAATTGTCAAAGTCAGCGCCGGCCAAGCCACATAAAACAACCGGCATCCACATCAATGATTTCCGATCAAAATTAACCGGATAGACTCAATTAATAAAATGTGAAAAGGATTATAACTCAATTAGCACAATTAATATAATATTAAATTGGCAAAAATGCATCAGGTTTACAACTTTTTGGATTATTTTCCCGGAGCATCACAGCCACTTCATTCTTAGCCTCGAGGACGACTTCTGCTCTCGCAATGTAATCTCAAGTATGAATGTCCCCCCCGTTCAGCACGAGATCAACTTTGCCTCTTTAATGAACAGCGTGTGCGTTCTTCTAAAGGACAGACAACTTTCTCTAACTCTAGTCGCGTCCAGACGATGAGCTCGGGCATTTGCAGTCCAAAAACAACCGACAAGAAAAGGGTCCCTCAAGTTTGAAAAAACGGGTCTCTCTTTATAGCGTGGACTTTTCGATGATAAATGCAAGTGCAAGACAGTGCCACGAACACGACGATCTTTAATTTATATTTTGGTCTGCCATGTGGTCAATGTGTGCATGTGTACCCAGCAGCCACATTAGACCGTTGCGCAAGGTCCAGCCAGCCATCTTGTTGAGGTGTGCATCTTTACCTGCGATAAGATCAATCAAACATTGGATCATCGAAAGCGTCATATTCTATAGGCTACAACATGGACTAGTTGCATCATCCGGCCACTCTAAACGGCAGGGTAAGAAGATAGAAGTCATCGTTGAATCGCGAAGCTCTTGCTGTGAAGGCTAAATATACCAAAAACACTCCAGAACTGCTATAGTATTTCCTTTCTGTTTGGTAAATCAGCAGGTACCATTCACAAGTGGCTACGCCATGCCATATAATGGCAAAGCCTATGCAAAAAAAAAAAAAGAAATGCTTAATGAGGTTTTTCTGTGATTTATGGGGGATTAACCATGCCCAGTCTTCAGCCAAAACCAGAGAAAAAAGCCCTAATCTCGTTAGACTGGATGAGAAGTGCTAGGCTTATTAAGACCAGTTTACAAAATTGGCTTACTAAGTGATATGTCGGACAATGAACGATTTTTAAACAAGTGGGTCATATTCAAGAATCAATCATAGATTGACAAATCATTTAGTAAACCAATTTATAAACCATTTCTAGTAAATTTAGCTATTTCCTAGATTGGAATCTCATTAGATGGGTTACTTTGGAAATTGACCATCCATTCCAGATGATGAAAGAAGCTTTTCTATGATGAATATTAGTTGTGCAATACTATCTCTTTGTTCACAGTAAATGTGAATGATCGAGCATATGACCAGCAGTTAAAGAACCTTCATAAACATGTGGAAGTCGCAAGTATCACAACAATTATTACCAGCGCAAATATTACAAAAGAAAAGAAAGACTACACAAAATTATTTAACTAAAACAATTATTGGCGGATCAAAACTGAAGTAACGAATTCCATAACAGCAGAAGATTTTCAAGTTCTTAGCTTTTGCAGCATCCTCAAATATCAATGGGCTACCTGAATAACTCAACCCAAGTGCTCATGCGCTGGAATAGGAAGGATCGCTGCTCACTAAATCTTATTCCACATGCACAACCAATGACGGCACACACTTACACATCCTCAAGACACCAGCTATATCCAAGTTATGTGATTGTGATCCGAGAATGATTCCTCCCAGCATCATGCATGGCTCTTGTTAATTGCAATAAAACAAATGTGGTTGAGTTTGAGTATTCAGAACCTTGACTTCCTACTTGGCTATGATCATGAGCCACATACACCGAGTCTGGGGCACCCGTCCGCTAGAGGCAAGTCCAGGTTCTCCACAATTCTGAATGTTCTTGGAACCATCTTGTCCACGTAGAGAATTCCGTCCAAATGATCGCATTCATGCTGTAATATCCTAGCTTGCCAACCCGAAGCATCAACCTTGATAGGCTTACCATCGCGACCCAATCCTGTAACCTCCACATCGAGATATCTTTCCACCAATCCTCTATATCCATCAACACTGAAAAGTATCATAGAAAACAGCAGACAATGTGAGTCAAAAAGGCAAAAGTTTTCCTCTTTTAAGGGAAAACAAAAATATCAGAAATTAATGAAATTTGTATCTCAACATGCATTTTAGCATCTAGCAGATCTATGGAGTTCTGGTCAAATTACAAATATTTCTTGAGTTGACTTTACAAGTCAGATTTCCACAGGAGCACTCTTATTCTCCTATTGAAAAATAGCACAAATCTCATACTTCTCATGCTCAGTAAATTTTTTTGTAGTTTTGGCAATGACAGTGCCCTTCAGACAGGAAGTCTTGGCAGGTGTTTTTCTCTGATAGATAAAAAAAGAAAACAAGCTCAAACATCAGAAGACACTTTTTTCAAGTAATCAAAAGACACTTTCTGAAGGAGTGATTTTAATATCTGCCATCCCTTCTATCAATGTCATGCCATAAGAAAGATTTTTCTTTCCTTTTTCCTTGATGTGTACTAAAGCAGAAAATCAATTGACCCCTAAACATTTCTAGTTCATTCCATGAATGAATGACCATCACAGAAGAATGAAAAAATTATGCTTAAGACACCAGTTCTCAAACCATGATTATCACCTGAGGCAGCCCTCAAAGAAAAGGGCGGTCCTATTGCTCTTCTTTTTTAGCTTTGGGTTCAAGATTACCTGTTTCAGGAAAACCAGCAAATCACAGAAGCCAAGTAAGATTGTTGTCCGTAAAATAAATAGGTGAGATGTGGTTCAGCTCAAAATTGTCTCATACCAGGAGATCAAATGGGCGCCTATCTTGTGCTTTAGTCTCTTCCTTTGGTGCATAACTTATGTACTCTTTGGTATCTTCTAGCACTATAATCTGCAAAGCAAGAAGATCACTACCCTATAATAGCAGATTGATTTCTACAACAACCAAATTGGATGATATATTAGATGACTTTGGGATTGCAGAACACATGCAATCAACCACATGCACTCGTCAAGACTTGTCATTTTATCGCAAAATTTTCCGTAAATAAACGCATTGATTTAGTCTGGAGTTCCAACAACCATATCCAATCAAATTTAGAAAAAAAAAATTATTAGCTTGTAAACCGTCATCCTAGGTACATTTGTCATTCGAATTTATTTCCAATCTGCTCAGGTTTGAACTTCATTGTTAGATAGTTTTTACTTCATGAAGAAGATATTGCTTCCACCACTAATATTCCCAAAAAATTCTTGGTGCTAACCAGATCAATCATTGCCTGAAGCCTCCATTTGAAGATGACCTCCTTTAGCTGTTCTGGTCACAACACATGGTGGATCAAATTTCCCAAAGTTGAAAAATTTAACTAAGTGTCCACTACAGAAGAAGTCTTAATCAGGCAAAGAGCAATTGCCTTTGCACAATATAAGACCAATCCCAAACCACTATATTGCATAAATTTCAGCTGCAACCAGGGAACAGCTTGCAGCCATTATGATGGTTTTGTTGAAGGACCTTGACATATAAACTACAGCAAATGAGCGAATCGGTAAACTTTCAGCATTTTGCAAGAAGATGACAACAATAACTTGCAAAGCAAACAAGGTGCGAGATAAAGTATCGGTTAATCTAATCGAGCACAATGTGGTAGACAGAAGCAACATTAGCAATACTTCTGCTAAGATGATCGAGAAGCAAAACCGAAGGAACCTTCACAATTACCATCCAACAGGATTAGAAGCAAGGGACTATATGCACCGTGTGGTCGGGTAACAAGATTTCTTTATCCATAGTAAAAGGTTCGACTTTCTTGCTAAACCTTCCTTAAGAGTCCAGATAAAAAGGCAAAGAACAAGATCCTCTTTCCTGTGGTCATGTCACAGGGCCTACGAAATGCATATGCCCCAAATTGAGAGAATCACAACTGACAATTGAACAATGCTATTGTCAGGTCCTAGGAGAGTAAACCTCAGAAAAGCCACTACGAACGAAATCTCGAACTGCAATGACACAACACCACAGGAGAAAACTCAGCAACTAACAGCGCATCATCACAAAAATAAGAACCACCACTACGCAAATTCATCAACAATAACAGAAATACCACGCTGCCCAGTGTGTCCACGCCAAAACATCAATGACACACACGTATACAGTTCGTAATCAAACCGACCTTCAAAGGAATACCAATCTGGGGAGCCGCGAGCCCGACGCCGGGGGCCTTCCTCATCGCCACCACCATGTCGTCGACTATCTTCTGTATCCTCTCCGACCCGACATCTGCCGGGTCGACTTCCCGGGCCGGCTCGTGCAGGACTGGGTCGCCGGCCTTCACGATATCGGGCAGGCCCGCGCTCTTCTTCTTGTCCCCCGCGAGACCCAGAAGCCATCCCGCCCTCGCAATCGAAGGGGAGTTGCAGTAACGCCTCCGAGGCGTGAAGACGAGGCTGAACTTGGGAGGCGAGTCCGTGCCGAGCTGCCGAGCCGCGGGCTCGAGCAGCGTGCGGTAGACGAGGGTTCTCGAGGGAGGTGAGGAGAGACAGAGAGGGAGCAAGCGGAGCTGGAGTGAAGCTCTGTGGAGGGACTCCATGTTTTGCTCGGGGAGAAGGGTGGGGGAGTTCGGTCGGACCAAGCAGAGACCGTCGGACAAACTCTGCAGCGGCATTGTAGCCGTCTCCGAACAAGTCTCGGCGGGCCTGCATTCTAGTTCGGGCCGGGCCGAAGAATGTCCATCTCTCCCTCTTTCTCTAACATTCATACCCAAATGATTTAGCAAGATTTACAGTCGGCAACTTGACAACTGAGATCATCACTTATCAGCAAGAGAGGGAGAGTGGGAGACAATGTCGCTCGACACGGGAGGAGCATCGGGCTGCAATTTCGTGCCTCGTCCTTTCTTCATCGGCCTAATTCAGGTCCCGACCGACGCTATTGCTCAATTGAACGAATCACATTATCTCGACATAGAGATGTTTATCGAGAGGGAGGGAGAGGGCGAATCATGAGGTCCGACCTAACTTAATGATCCGGAGTTCGCCCCATCACCAAATTGGTTTTCGAGCCCGTTTTAGCTACTAACCCATGATCAAGCCTTCAGTTGCACACGGTCCCAAAAATTCAAAATAAGACTTTTAAGAAGTAGGAACTCCTTCCCTAGGAAGGAAAGACAGAGACCTAACAAGTGATGCCGTATCCACGATTCAGGTCAACCCATATGCACGAAGGCTTGTCATGCACATAGACATTCAATGCTCCACATGTGCAAACCTCTCTTATCCTCCTAAAACTCTAGTTTTTTCTTTTTCTTTTTTGCCATGTAATGTGAAAGTGGATAAAGATGAAGATGAGCATTGCAACGAAACCGACCTGCCCAAGCAAGCTTCGTTTAAGAGTTCCCCAAAGAGAAGCAATCCCCTAAGAGTTAGGCAGAGATGCCAAGCCCCTTTTTCTAATACAATGCGAGCCTAGAAAACTTCTGATTATCCCCAAGGGGATGAAACATAATATACTATCCAAGCGTGTTTTATGTGGGTATATGAGTTCAAGTTATTACAAAGGCGCAAGCTATTAACTTTTTTTTCCTTTCTCTCTCTTTTTGACTCGGCCAAAAATGGCGCCTAGGCAGAGAGAAGAGGACCTTCCTGTGCCTAACCAAGGACCATGCCTTGAGCCGCACTTTAAGAATTGAATGGTCTAAAAGCCACATGCGTGTGGGTGATGATGTTTGATAACTCTCGTTAGGTGGCTTCGGCACCAAGTCAGCAAAGACGGTCGCTTCTTCAGCATCATGGTCTCCCTTGGCTAATTTCTCTTTTTTCACGTTTTCCTGGATGAATTTAGGAACAAGGGTATGAAAATCAATTCAAATTATTCGGTAAAGGATCGACGAAAACAAGCTGCGTGGTCAAAGCTGTAGTTTACGAATGCATAGTAGTTTCTCCAAATTCCCTAGTTATATGAATAACATCATCTTGGTTTATACACACGCATAGTAATATGCTAGGGGAGACCGGTTGACGAAGAAAAGGAAGCACGGTGGAACCAGATCGATTTTAAAACTCAGAGAATATTCCTTCTCCCAGATCTCCTCTATAAATATGAAACTTACAAAAGCATGATAAAGCAGAGATAAAGTCTCCTCATCCTCATGTCAGAATAATACAAGATCAGAGGCATAAGGAAAGAAGCTAAGCAAGACTAGAGAATGAAGAAGATCAGCCCAGGAACTCCTCCTCCGAGATCTGAAGACCAGAGGCTGAAGAAACAAGAACAGGCAGGAGAAAACATCCTATTCAGGAACAAGAAGGACGATCATGGCTTCGTCACGGCGAACGAAAGGAAGGCAATAGGGACGGCAAAGAAGGACGATAATATGATTAAGCTGGAGAGGAAGACGACAGAGGACATCAATGAAAGCGCGGAAGCATTCATCCAGAAGTTCAGGCAACAGTTGATGATCCAAAGGCTCGAGTCCATTGAGAACTATGAGAAAATGCTGGCAAGAGGGCTCTGACACTAATCTTTCCATCTGTGTGTGTGTGCATACCCATCTGGACAATTATTCAATTTGTTCTGTAAACTTTCGATTCTTGTTTAATCTTGAAATCTCATGCATGTTGCAGGGGGACACCCTTTTTGATTAGTTACTACCTACAAGAGTATAGTGATGAACACAACCTTCATTTGGTTCTTTTTACACATGACCAAGTTTTGCCCCCTTTATTTTTCCACCAGTTTTGATGAGCACATAACATACTATACAAACTTGATATGTCAAGGAAAATAGACTGTTTGGTTCTTTCTTTGATGCCTTGATGGTTGATGGTATGGATATTTTGTTGTCGAGGTAGGGATTTGAGCCGCTTATCTATCAATCCCATTCGTGTACCAGAGAAAATCTCTAGAATATTTTCCGGGTGCAATTTCTCAAATTTTGACTTGAAAAACGACAGCATTTTATAACTTACGGATCATACAAACTTTTGCATTAGATTGATTTGAGAAACGCACGAACTCTCGTCCTCCGATCGAGGGCTAACTTTAGTCAGGATAGGAAATAAGGGGTCGAGGATGATCAAGTTCCCAACCCATCTCAACTACATTGAGACTCGAACAAAGTTACGTCATTAGGTCGTGGGACGGTCTTGTGCTTTACCTAATAGGGAAATAGAATACATATTCCGATGAGGCTCAACATTACGGTAGCGATTAAATTGAAGTAGAATTCGGCAAAAAGAGATCATATAAAATCAGAAAGTAAAACATCCATCTTTATACCAAGCCTCGTCATAGAAGATAAAGAAAGATAATTTGTAAGAAGAAAAAAGATTGCAATGAATGACCACTCGAACAAGAACTTGATGTTATGTAAATGGCAATCACCTTTATGGATAAAAGAAAGCATGGGTGGTTTCACTAGCTGGTCGATGGGGCTGCTTTAAAAGGAACTGGCCTTTTGGCTTCTCGACCCATCTCTTGGACATGGGATAAAACATTATGTGCTCTACCATTCGAAAAGAAGTGGCGACTTCTCTACTTCTTTCTCCCCATAGTGAACCACAAAAATCGAAGGATATTGCAAGAATGCTCACCAAAGTTAAAGGTTCTCACGAGTTGATAATATCGACATGAGTAGTTTGATGGGTTGGGTCCGCCTCATACATCTTAAAAGAAGAAAAGTCATGAAAGGAAAAGAAAGGGAGGGCTGAACGTCCTTCATAGTGTGGAGAGAGAAAAAGGTGCCTTCCAAGAAACAGAAAACAAAAGAAAAAAAGAGTGAGAGAGACAGCGGATCAGAATCGATTCAGATTTGACTGTGAAATCTTGTCGGAATCAACTATGATTGTCCTTACAAAGTGAATGGTTTTAATAATTGAAACCTTTCTCCGATTTGTCTCTCAATTTCTCCGACAGTGTTTAGAGTTTTCTCACTTATCTGTTAATCTACCTTTTATGTTAATGATATATTGTTGTATTGTTGATGTGTTGAGCCTCTGGTTACGTAACTAAGGATGAACTATTATGCATTTTTTTTTACTTTTAGTGATTAGCGGAAGTTTTTTAGCGGCTTCGTTATTTTTCCTGCAATGAGTTTTTCACGTAAAATTTGCGGATGTTGTTTTTCTGCTTCGTCTTTATTTTTTAGGAATATATTTACCGATTTGGGGTTGATATGGCTGAAATATTGTAACTGGTCACTAGTGAGGTTGATTTGATATTGATTAGTTGAATTTTAGTAAACTATTGATCCTCGATAGATATTGTTGTTCCTCACCAACTTTAGTTTATCTGATAAGTGCTCTTTCTTTTTGCCTTTTGGATTGAGTCTGACATAAAAACACACTTTGGATCTCCTAGAATCGACGAGATTGGAACTGCGAAAGTCGATAAACAATCCCATTAACACAGATTTACTGAAGAAAATATTTGCTAATCAATGGACAGACAAGTTATTCCATCGAATGGCAATAGATATTCCATTCAATCTCGAATACCAGAAGCGCTTTTCCAACTTTAAAAGTTACGCCTTATTTATTTAAATTAGTAACCATGTAACCGTCGATTATAAATATTCCAAGTGCGTTCATTGTAAAGCCTCAACAATCATGAGAAAAACCCATTATCTTCTATCAATGCACTCTTTCAATCATCTTTAATTTCCCTTTCTTAGTTGTAATCTCAAGATTTCTCTTTGTTTATTAAATTTCAGCAACACATCTTTTAGCCATTGTCCTGTTGTTTATTAAATTCTGACAGAATGTCATCGTCGCTCCTTGTGATTATTGATACTCCCGTCCGAGTCGCCATACAACCCGTATCTATCTAATAAAAACCGAAGAATGAGTTTTGGTGAAAGATTAATTCGTCATTAACTAAATTCCGATGAAACATTTTTTTTTTTGGCAAACCCAGTGGGACAACTTGTGGTTCGATTTCAGGAAATTTAGATGCCAAGAACAAGGAATCGTCCAGAGCCTAATGATAGTGCGAGTTACAATCTCAATGGCAGTGATAGGGCTGTGCACTCCGAATCTTTAGCCGTTAAACGAGCAGCAGAAGAAGGCTAACATGAGAGGGAAAACTTTCCTAGGGAACAAAATGGTCAACCAAATCCACAATTGAACCTGGCATAGTTTATTGAATAAGTTCCACAACGATTAGGGTTAAACAGGGTGTTATCATTCCTCTTTACAAGAAACCACATCTTGAATGAGTTGATAATTAGCCTTTTCCAAGAGGCTTTAAAATCTATGAATTTGCCATTTTTACTGGCAATGGTGAACAATCGACCATTAAGGGCCCGTTTGGTTCGACTTTGGGGGAATGCCTTTGGGGGAATGCAAATATCTTTGGGCTAAAGGGGTTTTTCAAAATGCAAGCAGTGTTTGGTAAGTGTTTTTTAAAATCACATTTGAAAGCAACTTTGACCTAAATACCGTTTGGTAAAAACCATATTTTGTAAAGGACTTTTGCTGATTTTTTTTTTTAGAAAAAAGTTTCCGGTGGAGCTCAGTCACCGGCCATCACCGCCGGCCAAATCTAGTCGCCGGCCAACCGCCGACGGCCAGATTTGGTCGCCGGCCACCGGCGCCTAACCTCAGGCGAGGCGGCTTGAGGTCGCGCGACCTCAAGCATCGCCTGGGTCGCGCAACCTTGGCAACCACCGCCTGGGGTTGTCGAACCTCGGGCGACGCCCTGGGTCGCGCGACCCAGGCAACACGACCCGGGCGATGCCCGAGGTTCGGCTACCCCAGGCAACGCGCTTGGGTCGCACAACCTCGGCAACCACCGCCTGGAGTTGCATGACCTCAGGCGGCGGTCGCCGGGGTCGCGCGACCCCCAAGCGGTGGTCACCGACCGCGCGAACCTGCTGTGTGGGGATGATGAACAGTGCAAGTTGCATTCCGAAAATGCAACTTTCCAAGGCACCTTCAACTTTGCATTGGCCAAAAGTCCCTTGACGAGCATTGGAAATGCAATTGCATCTCCCCAAAGTGAGTAAAAAAAGTTGCCAAACACCATTTGCATTTGGCCAAGGGACTTTAGAGCCTAAATGAGTATTCTAAATGCTGAACCAAACGGGGCCTAAACACATTGGTCAATTTATAAAGTAGTGTAGACAAGTAGAGACAAATGAGTTTTTAAGACTTAGGTTATTTCTTTTGTCTTTGTAGAACACTGTTTTTACATGGTACACTAATTTACTACCTAATTGGGTGTGTGATTGCGCAGAGATGGAAAGATAATTCCATAGGATGATAATTAGGTATCAAGTGCTAATTTGGTCATACTCTATCAATACAATTACGAGTCAATCAATTTGTTGCTCGATTAAAAAAGGTTAGAAATGGATGCCGTGCTTCATCGTCCGAGAAAGAATTCGAAAATTTGGTTTTCAATGAATTGAAATACAATCTTAGAGAACGATTCGAAAGCAAAGATTTTGTCGATTTATTCCAATGGGCAACAAAAGTGTCTAAGTATTAGCAACAACTTCAGGACAGAGAAAGATAACCATTATAACTTTACATGAAACCTGCTTTTCGTGGAAAAATATGAGTCAGAGGATAAATCTGACCAAAATGAAAATATTACATTTGTTGTGGCAAAAGTGGTGCTCGACCAGCCTTACGTTTGTCGATCCTTAAAGCCTGCCAAAATAAAAGATGTAATAATGGCTAAGGCTAAAGACACTCAAATTTGCTCATTTGATATTGATAAATTGGTCGAAATTTTTGACTTATTTTTTACCTTATTATATTTTCCAAAGGCCAAGTAATTTCAAGTAAGGACAATATTGTAAACAAAATTTATTGCCAGTAGCACCATTCGCGAAGCCATAACACAGTTAATTGTATTGTTTTCTGAAAAACAATTCAACGGATAATTCGATAAGAAAACATAAAATTTGCCGATGACAAGGGAGGACATGATGACTCTTAATTGTTTAATTTAAAAGAATCGAATGGCCGATTAATTATTCAGTTATTTTAAAAGGGGCATTTATTTGCACAAAAAATTGATCAACTTTTTGATTACTTAGTTTATAAACAGAATTATCGGTAACTTGACTCGCTCCTTGGGATCCATTGATACTCCTGTCCAAGTTGCCACAATACCCGTATTTATTTAATGAAAATCGAAAACTAATTTCGATGAAAAATTGACTCTGTCATTCATTAAATTCCGGGGAAACACAATTTTAACTCTTTTCAACCAAAACAAAAGGCCGGTTTGCTTTTTCGTTCTTCTTTGTGTTTATATTTAGGTTTGATTAAACATCTACCAATCAATATGACGCCACTTTTATTCTTTTTTTATTTGCATGTTGGTTCTTTCTTTATAAGGGAATAACTCACCAAATTTAAGACTCCATTCATTTCGAGAAAAATGAATAATTTAAAAAATATTTAAAAAAGAAGAAGACAAGACCACCTTTCGTACATTTCAACTGGTTCATAATTCCAATAGCGAAGGAAAGACATTGGATTTAAAAAGTACTTCCAGCAGGTTGACATTGGATTTAGAAAGTCTTCCAGCAGGGTTGACATTGGATTTAGAAAGTTCTTCCAGCAGGGTTGACGGCTGTGTGGCCCTCGTTGCCGGAAGTAGAAAATCAATCACCGTACGACCGATAACTTAATCTCCTTCTCTATATTGACTCAACCACCTACCTAACTTCTTAGAAAAGATCCGATAGATAGCAACTGCCTAAGGCGCTTTTAAGCCCTTCACTAATCACGAGCTTTCATTTAGTAAGTCCTAGTACTATGTCCTCCAAGCTTGACAAATAGAATAGGCGGGCCTTTTATAGTTTAATCACTTATATTACTGAAAGTAATTAATTAATGAAAAATATTTTTCATTAATGGCAATAATTAATATATATTTTTCGTTCGTTCATTTTCGTATAAGTGATACGGAAATGAAGTTCTTGCAAGTCGAGATTAACTCTTATGGGATAGAGTATGTTCAGACTACGAAAAAAACTTGGAATTCAACTAATCGGATAAGCCTCAACCAGATCAAGTGGTTATCCTTATAAACAGCGGAAAAATACAATGTAAAATATGGAACTAATCAACTTTAGCTGATAAATATTACGAAGCTCTCCTACCCTTTGTTGGAAAATCTGTTGTTAAAAAGAAAATGGAAAATAAGATCGAACATATGAGGCGAGCAAGCAATAATTTCACCTGTTGGAATACGGGTTATACGCAAAATCCAACAAATAAATAGGAAAAAAAGGAGAGAATTTCTTATTTTTGGTAAATTTTGATTGTGATTTGAAAATTCTCTTTATAACCAAATAAAGAAGAGGATTAATAAAGAAATAAATCAAATCAAACTTTACAAAATCGTCACAAAATCGCCACAAATTGATTGCGATCATACTTTCCATTAAAGCCGTTAATTTTCATAAAATCCATAACCGTTTGAAATGTCCAACACTTTCCATGTGCAAATTGATCTCGTGATCTCATTCTTGCCACCAGTCCAATCACTGGTCAGCGAATACAGTCGGGAGAATTCTCTCTTCAATTTGCAGGGCCGAAGTTCGATGGACAAAGCACCGGTTGATCCCGGCAAAGATTGCCATTATCATGCACAGCGCCAAAAGAAAGACGGACAAACCTTAGTGGAGAGAACGGACCGTCAATGGTCGTAGCCTATCCGAACAGAACGCCAAGAACCAAAATCACAATCAAGAACTCACTGCAAACATCACGGCAAATGTGCCCAGGAACAATGGCTGTCCGTCGAAGTTTGAAACTCCAACGTTGTCCCTCTTATTTTCAATCCAACATGAACAAAAAACAAAAGAAACAGAACAAAACAAAAGGCAGCAAAAGGACCCGTCTCTCGTTCTTCCTCACCAATACAGAGACACTCTTCAAATTTCTTCCTTCAGCTTTCCCTGTCTCGGATCACGTCCGGTAATCCAATCACTACAAACTGACGAATCGAAACATGCAAATACCACGAGATTTACACTGAAAGTTCCTTTGTTTTTTTTTTTTTTTTTTTTTTTTTTGTTGGGGGGAGGGGACCTTGATCGGGATGCTCCTACTGCTGGAGCACCTGCTTCACCCGGGGCTGCGGCATCTGGAGGCTGTTGACCCGGGAGCATGCGCGGGCAACCTCGCCGGCCAGCGGGATGACGGGGAGGATGTCGCAGTTGCAAATCTCGATCATGAACCCGTCCGGGTCGTGGAAGAAGAGCTGTTCCACCTGCATCCCCCCTTCCTCTACTCTGTCCCGCACGTAGTCGATCTCCATCTCCTTCAGCTTCTTCTCCACCGCCTCCATGCTCTCGGACTGCAAAAACCCAAGAACCGTCCCTCAAACTCAAAACTTCAGATCAAGCTTTGCCGAAAAAACGAAGATATATTCTTGGGAAAATTGCAACCTGGAAAGAGATGTGGGTGTGGTTAGGGTCGATCTCAGTCTTCTTCGGCATATTCTCGGGGTCCTCCGACTGCAGCAGATGGATTCCGATCCCAAAACCAAAGAGCCTGGAAACAGATCGCACCCAAAACACCAAAACAAGAAGAGAAGTAAGCAGAAAGGCATGAGTTTTGAAGATCAAGAAACTAGTCAGGCGAAATTTGGTAATTCATTTTGATCCAATTACCACATTCCCCCCATCATAATCCAATGATCCAGGGCCTACATAAGAACAGTAGTTGTAAACGCATCGTAATACACATATAGAACACTACCAGTGCACAAAATCACTGAAAAGATAAAAACTCGAATCTTCACGACATAAAAGAAACGAACAGTCATACGGGCACGCGACAATTGCTTGTGTTAACGCGATCGAAGGAATTACCATGCGCCATCAAAATCGAAAGAACCGGGCCTACGGATGGGGACGAAGCCGAGAACGTTCTGGTAGAAGTTGATGGACTCCTCGGCGGATTTGCAGACGAAGGAAATGTGGTTCAGGGACTTAAGCTGCAGCGGGTTGTTCTTCATCTTTGCAAGAAAAGTACCCAAAGGGTCGAGAGATTTCAGGCCCGATGACGAGACTAGTTTTCAGGAACTGAAAGAGACCGAGCAAGATCGCCAAGGAGAAGAAGAAGAAGAAGAAGAGTGGAGCGAGTGGGGAATGAGGGACTGTGGCCCGGGATGGCCTCCCGTATATAAAGGCAGGAGGGGACGGAGGGCTGATGCGCACAGCACGTGTCGGCAACCCCCGGCCCCGCTCATGTGATGAGGGTGCCACGTCGCTCCACGTGTGCTGACGCGGCCCTCCCGCTGTCTCGCGGAAAGACGGAAATTACTCTTTTCACCTCCTCCGCCCAGCAATTCAATGAAAAGAGTTCAGAATTGATTTGATACCATATATAGAGAAAATTTCAATTAAGGGCCCAAAATGGGTCTCTTTTCTAAAAAAAAGATATTAAGTGGATGGTGTCTCAATTAAGGACCGAAAGTATCTAAATTTGTCTCAAATAAGGACCTCAATTCGCCGGCCGGCGAGTGTGAGACATTTCCGGTGTCGGAATAAGGGCAATTTTGCCTTTTTTTTTTTTTCTTTTCCTTTCTTTTTTTTCTTTTTTCTTTTTTCTTTTTCTCTATTCCCTCTTGTGGCCATTGCCGGCGACGTTCGCCCGCCTCAGGCGAGGGCCGCCTTCGCCGGCGTCGGGCGACGGCGACCCTCGCCCGCCACCGCTACAGCTCCGGAGCCAGAAGAGAAACAAAAAGAAGATCAAGTTCCGACCTTTGACGACAATTGCTCGTCGCAGAACCGAACCCAGAAATGAAATTGCAAAAACAAGTAGATGGGGGGCGATTTTACCGTTCACCAGGACCAGAGGAGACGGAGACAGAGGAGCCTTGCGTCGTCCTCCGGTTGAGGTTGGCCATGGCGGTCGGAGGGAAGCTCAGGGGAGAGAGATGTCTGCGGAGGGAAGGGGAAGATGTCTGTGTATATCTGGGCGGGCGAGGGCGAGGGCAACCCTCAACCGATGCCGACAAGGGCGGCCGTCGCCCAACGCCGACGAAGGCGGCCCTCGCCCGATGCTGGCGGACGTCGCCGGCGATGGCCACAAGAGGGAAGAGAGGAAAAGAAAAAAGGAAAAAGAAAAAGACAAAATTGCCCCTATTCCGCCGCCGGAAATGTCTCATGCTCGCTGGCTGGCGAACATTTGGCCGGCCGGCAAGTTGAGGTCCTTATTTGAGATAAGTTTGGGCACTTTGGATCCTTAATTGAGACACCATCCATTTTGGGTCCTTTTTTGAGAAAAGAGACCCACTTTAGGTTCTTAATTGAAATTTTCCCCTATACATATATATGCAGCGTATCCTTCTTCTTTTGGGTGAATAGGGGAATAATGCCAGTCAAATTACCGAACGTGTTTTTCGACCCAAAAAAAAAAATTACAAACACGTTTTGGTTTTTTTTTTCCTGTTTTCCTTTTTTGTACTTTTATTTTAAATTATTACCAAGCTTTAAATTCGCGAAGGATTTGTCTTTCTAAAAAAAGTGCGAATACCATAAAAAGAAAATTTCAAATTATGCCCACCGTAATACAAATATCCAAACTTTTTTTTGGGTCGTCGTCAGAAACCCTAAACTTGCCCACCGTGACACAAATACCCCCAACTTATTCTTGTGTCGCGAAAAAACTCGAATTTATACATGTGTGACATATATGCCCTCTATTTCAGTTCCATCCAGGGTATATTTGTCTCACCGGTATAAGTTCATAAAAAAGTTCAGATTATTTGTATCACGATGAGCACGTTTAGGGTTTTTAGTGATCCAAAAAAAATTCAGGGAATTTGTGTCACAGTGAATATAATTTAGGATAATTTGTGGTATTAATTATTTTAAAAATGAAACTTTTGTTGGCTTTGAGGGGAAATCAAGGACAGGAGTCCCGTTTTAGGTATCTAAAGTCCAACCCATTACGCTCTAAGATTGTATTTGTGTTCGAATTGTGCACGTAAATACGTAATATCATGTGACAACGCATCTAGTCATCTTTCATTTTTTGTTTCCTTTTTTCGATTTCGAGCCCAATAAATAAAAATAATTTCCCAAATATACAATAACAACCTCATCGTTTAACTTTAATTTCAAACTTCTCGCCGAAAAATTCTAATAGACCCCTTTTTTTAATCAATTAACAATGGATGAAATAACTAATATATTGCGCGATGGGCGTAATCGTAATCTCAAGTGGCCAATAATTGATAACCATAATAGGAACCTTTAGATCTGACATTTCCTAGAGGCCACCTCGCGACAAGCTGTACTTGCTTTTCAAAACAGATTTTTTGTTTTACGAAAAAATAAATAATTAAAAAAATATTTCCTTAAAAATAATTATTCATATCGTTTGGGATAATTAATCAATTAAAAAATATTTTCATTATAAAAAAAAATTCGTATCTAAATAATTTCGTGGACAATAAATATATTTCTTCGTTCATTTATTTTTGTAGGCAATACAAATGATCGTTCTTTTAGAAAAATATTTTTCAAATCAATTCATATATTTTTGTTCACTCGTTTTAGTCCATAGTCCAATGTTAAGGAAGACGAAGGAGCACGAATAATTAAGATTTCAATTATTAGCGCACAGGAAAAAAGTATTTATTTTCGCATTTGTAATTAAGAGCTTTCTAGGGCTTTTGACTTGGTTACAGCGCAAAATTAAGAGAAATTAGGAGGGCCTACACGTGTACGGTCGAGATACGTTCAAGTTCTTCATAGACAAGTACAATGTAAGGACCGATCATGCAAGTCAAGAGGGAAAAGTCCTCATCGACTGAAACTACACCGTCCGTTTCTTGTTGCTCCGTCTCGTCTCCTGCACAAACACCTTGTGATTAATCTCTTCGCTCTTTGTCGTTAAGCTGAAGCTTAATCTCATTAGTTAGTTAAGCCAATCTAATCCTCCGCCTCAATAGTTCTAATGTCCTGCACTCCCGATGCGTCGCGCATCTAGTGTGACATCCCGAACTTTGGTACGGTCAAAAGAATGAATGGCTCTAATGGATTAGGGCGCTCGTCGACGGAAATTAGGAAAAATGAAATTGGAAGTTCAGGTGTCGCACTAATGTCGCCTTTGTTGTTTTTGGAATCGCAAAGTTTAATTCTCGGGTTCATTTACACTGGATCGTTTATTTATGATGTCACACCATTCGCGCGAGCCGACTCCTTACCAAACCCAACACTTTCACTTTTCCTTCCCTCCCATTTTCTCTCTTGCTCACCGCCGGAAAACACCACCACCATCACCCACCATTCCTCTCCCTTTATCCCTTCTTTTCTCTTTTTCTTCTTTTTCCCTCTGCCACTTGTTGGAGGAGTGCTGCCAGGTGGCGCCCATGCATGCCCATGCATGTAGGGTAGGTGACCATCCACCGGATTATCGTTTCCCCCGGCTCACTCTCTCTCACACTCTCCGACCAACTCTCTCTCTCTCTCTCTCTCGCTCGTCTCTCCGCCGGAGCGCCGCCTGCCGCTTGAGTATACAGCCCAGAGCCGTCCGACCAGCAGCTGTCCATTCCGCCGTCCCGTTTCACCTGCACCACCAGCAGCAGCCGCATGAGCTCGGGAAACCACCACCGGTGTGCCCTTTTCTCTTCGCCTAGGTTGCACGCCGTAACCGCCGCACTCGCCGTTGAGGCAAGTGTGCTCTCTCACTCTATACTAACCATGATAATGTTTGCATGTTGATTTCGGGTCTTGGATGGGGCAATGAGTTGGCTGGTTAGGGGTGGGAGAGAATGGTTTGGTCTCATAGTTGATGTTTATAATGGTTTGAACCCCTAGGAATGAGTTTTGTGAGTATAGGACACTAGACTAAGTTGGAAAGGGATGTTTCATGTTGAATTGAACTTGTGGCTTGGTATTTTCTTGGCTGAGAAGTAGTGAACCGCAAGTTGAAAGTGTTTCCTGGAGTTTTTGTTTTGGTTCCAAAACTGATTTTACTTGACACTCCTGATTTTCCATTTTTATAGCACCTTTTGTGGTTCGAATCTTGCGAAATGTTCACCGTCAAAGTTGTTCAGAAAATCTTGGACTATAACATATTTAAATTTCATATATTTTTAAGTTCAAATGAGTTACACGAAGGTCCAACTTCTTACTGAACCAAAGCTGTTTTATACGGCAGAACCCATGACCTTCGTGCCTTCTCAAATTTTTATAAACATTTCCACCTCGAATTTGGTCAAACTTCCTTCACAAAATTTGTTAAGGAAGCTCTTGTCTACGACATATAAAAATTTGGTCACACCTCGAACATGTGTCCGGTGCGTAGCCGGGAAGCGCACCGGACACATGTTCTTGGAGTGGTAATTAAAGTTTGATGAATGTCACACAACGCCTGCAATGTGTGCTCGTGTGAATGGTTGTTCATTGATTAACAATCTTTTTACCTGGTGATTAGTGCTCGAATGAAAAAGGGAGTTTATGTATGCTATGGCTAGTTGTGGATTGGTTTAGTTGTCTATCTATTTGACCCTCTCGAGGTGCACGATATTATATGTTTAGTATGACGTGATGGAGCTTACTTTGCTGAGCTTTCGCCCACTGTTTGTTATTGACACTTTTTACAGATTAATAGCCATGCCGATACTCCCCGCTTCAACCTCTATTAGCTACGGGGTGCCCGTTAATTTTGAGGGCCACCCGTATGAATTTGTGAATCCACATTTCCCTGAGCTTGTTTTTGTGAAATGCATCTCCATCTTGACCGCAGACATTGGGTCCTCGATGGGACCCATTCTTTTGGGGTTTGTCGTCGTCTACGTTCGTACAGGTGGACGGTTGGTAGGGCCACTCCCATACCAGGGGCCGGATGGAGCTGATGATGATGCTAGTAGCGGGGTTGAGTGAAGACAATATCAAGAAGGAGGAGGAAGGAGCAAGTTTTTGGGAAAGACACGACTGTCTTTTTTAGAGATAGAGTCGTATAGTGTTGGGTGATAGCCTTGTTTGTTTTTGGTTAGGGCTGGTGGGTCACAGTGTTTAGTCGGGTTGGAGTAGTTATGTAGTCTCCCCGTGTTTTGAACTCACCTTTGTATCACCCGTATTATTATATGAGATGGATGGTATTTTCATAGCTTGCGTGTCTTTACA